GGCGAGACAACTCTCGCTCAAGCGAGACTTCCAGGACTGATACTATAATTTTAAAGACTCAAAATTAGGATTTTACAACGTACACTACGCTAGATATGTAAATCAAGAGTGTGCATTTCGGGGATAAAACAACACTTCTGGGCGCTGCCTATGTGAGCGCAATAGTATATGATATGTTTTAACAACGCTTATGTAGAAGCTATTGTATGTCATACATACAACAGGGCCACCTCCAACAAGTGTTGTTATATATGTACATGACTTTTAACAGCGCTAATCACGAGTGTTGTTGATATGTCACCTTTAACAACACTTATTTAATCGCACTCATATTAAATAAGACAATTTCTTTTAGAAATTTAATCAAACACATAAGAACGAATGTGATGAAGATGTAAAGGACAAATTCATGATTTTCTTCTCTCCCTTAACCGAAGAAATAAGAGAACATAAAAATACGATCAGATTCAATACAATAAGAATGAAATCAAAAGTTACATAGAAAATATGGATGAAAAAATAATAACCAAATACAAGAAATACATACAGATATTGTAAATTTGGTAAATCAACAACAACTTCACGTAGATTTAACCTTGACATTTCCTGTAATATAAAATAAACACTTAACGTAGATGTAAATGCAAAGAGAAAAGGTGAACCAAAGAGAATGATTCACCTTATGCTCGAATAGAGAAATAAAAAACTAATAACTTGTTTGAAGAGAGAAACTAAGAAGAAGAATAAGAGGTGAATGATATATGTATTATTGTGTGTGACGTTTTGTTTTTAAATCTGCAAAGATTCGCGCCACTAAAACAAAAATGTATGACTTTTAACAGCGCTCTCTAAAAAAAACGCTGTTAAATGTGTGACTTTTCAGCTACAATAACTTTATCAAAACACATTCACTATAAAACTTGTAAAATAAAAAAGAAATAGTAAAAATGGTTTCTTTTTATTGAATTTCAGGTTGCACTTTTATAATGTAGTGAGAAAATTTGGATAGAATGATTTTTTCTACCCAAATACATATAAAAAATGTCCAATTCTAATTAGTGGTTCAAAAGTTATGTCAAAAATAACATTTTATTCAATACATGTTAATATGGCATCTTTAACAGCGTTTGCGTAAATAAGCGCGGTTAAATGTGTAATATCAACAGCACTTGCATAAATAAGCATTGTTAAATGTGTCATATCAACAACGTTTGTGTAAATAAGCACTGTTAAAGGTGTTATGTCAACAACGTTTGCGTAAATAAGTGTTGTTAAAGATGTCATATCAACAGCGTTTGCGTAAATAAGCGCTATTAAAGGTGTTATATCACTATTTTTATCATAACTTTTGAACCACTAATTAGAATTTGACATATTATATATGCATTTGAGGTAGAAAAATCTGTTCTATCCAAATTTTCTCACTAAACAAAAGAATTATGGGGAACGAACACACTTTAATATATGAGAGAATGTTGTTTAGAAATTGTAATTTTTAAATTCTTATCAAATCAACAACCACATTTAAGAAAACGCTGTATACGATATCAAATCAACAACGCTTATTGAAGAAAGCGATGTAGAAGATATCTCATCAATAGCGTACATAACAAAAGGCGTTGTTGAATAGATTCCAATTAACAGCGCAACAAAAAAGGAGCATTGTTAAAAAGAACTAATTCAAGTCAGCACTTATTCAACAACACTTATTCAACAATGCTCATTCACATATGCACGATTGATTGTATATCCTCTTATCAATATTAACAGCGCTCACTTAACTATGCGATGTCTATGTTCATCCACCTCGTATTTAACAGCATAGTTCTAGGAAGTGCTGTTGAAGAACTGTTATTAAAAACGTTTTCTGACGTATTGATACTGATTTCTTTATCTTATCTTGAATTTACCAATGATTTTACATGTTGCCACAAAAAACTGTAGAAATAGTATTTCAACTATCAAGATTGTGAAAAATAGATTGCCTGATCTAATAGAAGATGTATAGATAAATGATTGTCTAGTAGCTTATATCGAGAGAGAAGTGTTCGACAATGAGTATTCAATGATTTCAAAAAATAAAATCACATAAAGATCAAGATGATGAATCTATTTACTCCAAGAGTAAGCTTTTTAGACTTATTCCACATCTTAGCCATCAATTCTAGGGAAATTCAATGGTTTAGATCTACTTATTAATTCAAACCATTGAATTTCCCTTGAATTGATGACTAAGATGTGGAGTAAGTATAAAAAATGTACTATTTGAGTAAGTGAATCCCCTCCCAAAGATCAATTATGAACTATGTAACTTATTTGGTTATATATTTTTTAAAATTTGTGATGTTGACATTAATATTTTCATATGTTTAGGATGATATTTATTATTTTTATTTTTAATATGTGTTGCACACTCTGCCTTCTAGTCTTAGATATGTCATTGAATACACATATGAATTAATAACATACCAGTACTGCTTAAAAACATAACATCGTTGTTTAACAATATAACAAACACATTTATGAATTAATATGATATTGCAATTATGGATTAACATAATATTACAATTATTTCGATATATATATACATAAAGAGAAATTTAGGAAGAAATAACGAGTACGAGTACCAGCAGGTCTAGGTACCTTATTATCCGAATCCGTCTAGAAGTGAGTCTTAAAATCTCAAGCCTTAATTACCCACAAGTCCAAAAATATTTGAAGCTAGAAGATCTACACATCAATCTTTATCTTTAAGTTTATCTTTATAATTATTTTTATGATGTAAATTTTAAGATCTATTCTATGATTTTTTTTGGAAAGTGAATCTTTTAACTAATCTTTGGATTTTGGAAGGCAATCTTGTGATATCGTACTAAGTAGCCCTACCTAATTTCGCCTTATGGATTTTCTGCTTTGCTTTTAACTAACTAAGGGTGATTTTACCTTGCTAGCTCTATTATAGTTAGCACCGTTTCTAACCTCTAATCTGATTGCAAAAGACTTCGATTATGGATTAACATATGATATAGGATTATGAAACTTAATTTATGGGTTATAAAACTCAAAATAAAATACATAGATTATGGATTAACATATCATTCATTCAAATGGGTCCGACTTATAATAAATTTTGGGTCACACATGTATGTTTAAATGTGTTTAGAGTGATTATTTTATTAGCCAAATTAAAGTGATCTATTTCGAGTAAGGTTTATGACTATAGACATAATTATCATGAAAATTATTGTGTAGATACCAAATATCTTATTTCTATTTTTATGATAGGCAAAATAAGAAATAAGAAATGCAAAATGCATCACCCTTCATGAAAGGGAATGCATGTCTTATAAATAGGGGTTATGGTCCCCAATTGTGACCACTACAACACAACCACAAAATCACTATTCTATTCATCCCATTAGAGGAGAAACTAAGGCTAAAAGTGGTCTACAATTGGAAGACCAACAAACCTACATGTTCTACTATGAAATGTATATGCATTTAAGACAAAGGACATGAAGAAATGAATACATGACCAAAGAAAGACATAACGTTTGTTCTTCATATTCTATATGAATATATTAAGGTACGTTTCCGTTAAAGTTTTAGTTTTATACATTTATTCTTGACGATTTGACATGAAAGATCTTGACTATATATATGATGATAATATTGTTCATCATCTTTGGTATTATGTATGTTTAGTATAGAAAAGTCTCTCACCATCACATAAAGTCTATCTTAAGTTAGAAGATTTATCCAACATGACTTTTTTTTGGTCGACAAAAGAAATATTTATTAGATAAAGAAGAATTTATAAAAGTATATAGGAATTATAAAACAATGTTGAGACAATCAAATGGATTAGCAGTTGAAAAATGAGTCCGACTTTTCCTTTATTGAAAAATGAGTCCACCATGCCCCATTAGGAACATGTTTGTGCCAAAGAGACCGAACTCTTGTGTGAGACAAAAGGCTCAAAGTGTTTTCTCTCTCACCATGGTAATTGGAAGATCTCTCTTCTCACCCTCATCAACTATCTTCCTTATCTCTTATAACAGATTTATGCTAGCCAACTTTTGGTTAAGCTAAAGTGGGGTAGGACTGAAAAGTTTGATTAAATTTTATATCTCTTAAATTGTAGCTCAAATTCGTCAAAGCGGACCACGGGTTAACCTGAATAACATTTTATTAAAAAGTCAAATAAATTAAACCTTTATTTTTATTTTAAATTTTCACTTTAGTTGATTTTTGATATTTTCAACTTTATTATTACCTCACTTTTTCAAGGGTCACTTTTAGGCAACTTCTTCCCTTTCTCTTGTCGTTTTCTTTTCCTTCCTTGATTATCTTACTTCCATTTGATTTTAAATTTTAACATTTTTGACATGCCAAACTAACTAAACAGGTCATTCACTACTATATATAGATGTACGTTAAATAATTTATATATTTTCATATTGTTAATTTAGTCGTTAGACATAGAACTATTTTGATAAGCTATTAACTTAGACCAAAATACTGACAATTGATACAATTGAGGTGTTGCATTTGAGTCAATTCCACATGCATAGATTACTAGACATAAATGTATGATTTTGTGAGTTGTAATTCTTCATATTGTGTCTAAAATTATTATACATATTAAACCGACTAAGACATTAACTTTTAGTACATTTGAGTTTATTTGTGTGGAATAATCATTACTAAGTAAATTTGTGTTGTTGGATTATCTGTATATTGATAGTAAATATGAAGTTCAATCCCAACATCTTTTATCAAAGTATTATAATCTTATTTACCGATTTTTAGTGTCATCAATGAAACAAATTGTTTTTTTTTTTGAAAAATAGCTTAGAATAATAATTATTGGTGGAAAGATTATTATCTAACTATAGGACAAACTCACTTTATTTACATTATTTACATTTCTTTACACCTTTTAGTGATTTCTACACAAAATTTTCGGTTAGTAATGAGAAAGAAAGACTATGAGAGAATAAGATAGAGGAAGAATGAGGCAAGAGATGAGAAGAGACAAAAACAATAAGGTGGAGTAAGAGTACTGCACCTATCTTGAGGAAGACAACAAAACCAACAAGGAAGCAGAAAAGGTAACCAAACTAAACTACTTACTACAAAAAGGGTGATATATATATATATATATATATATATATATAGCAATCGAGTTTTGGATTTTTGCTTAAATATTGTGACAATATGCCTGAAAAGTTCATAAAAAATAGTTCAATCTGTTGAAATTATACCGTTAAAGTATAGAATGAGAAAATATAATGCTCAAAATAATAAATTATATAGTAGTATGAATGATGATATTGTGTTTATTTGATTGTCTTAAGAGGTTTACAACTAACTCATATTTATATTAATATCATACTCCTAATTAAATAACAAACAAAACATAATAAACTAATCTGTATCCTAAGATATCTTCTAAGATACTCTAAACAAATCTAAGATATGATCATAATATGATATATTCTCTTAAGATATTCTAAGATGATATCATATATTTTAATACAATCAATTAAAGATCCGAGTATATTGGTACCTCAAATTTCGTGGGAGTATGTTTGGATCAAAAAGTTCATAGCACATGCTTTGATTTTGTGTTGTTCTTCACTGGCTTTTTGTGTAGCATTCCATTGTTCTATAGGAAGGTTCTCCCTGTTTTTTGTTTTTGGTATTTGATCTTCTCACTATGCAACATTTAGATTAAAGATTAACCCTAAATCTTGATGAAAATTACAGATTAAAGATTAAATTAACCTTATAAAAACTAAGTTATGATCCTATCTATTAATGAAAATGCACATAATTCAAAAATCAAAGTAAAACACAATTTTCAATGACATATTTATCATTATAATTAATAAAATTACACTTTTTGTCATTAAAAAAAATATGTACTTGTCACACCCGGATTTTCACCCCATGTACTTAGCAAGCACACGCCTTAACCACTCGGCCAAAGCGTCATTTTTGTTTACTCTACAAACAAATTTATAAACATATTATTGATTCATAACCAATCTGTTCTGCTGTTCCACCCTACTTTACCAAATGGTATATGAGACTTGATAGAGAACAACTGTTAGCATAATTGATAAGGGCAAAAACTGCATCAACTAAGTTTCCGGGGTTTCCAATTGTGTCAGGGTTCTTGTTGGTGGATTATATGCAAGTATATTGAAACACTTGTCCTACAATTGAATAGAATAAAGATTAGTCAATGGCATGTGCATTCTTAATTTCCCAATTGAAAGAATGACATAAATGTCCAAATCAAAGGATACATTGAGCATAGAATCAATCAACTAATTGGAAAAACAAGACTTTATTCATAATTTTATGGTGGAAAGTCAGTTATGGCAATGAAAATAAAATTCAAACCTTTTCTTTTTGACAAGTACTTTTACTGTTAGTATAATCTCATCTTAAACAAGTTTTGCTGCTGTTTTCCAGGTGCAAGGACTATGTCAAGGCATGGAAACGTCTTACTGTGAAACGTTCTCCAAATATTCTTACAATTGCCTTAAAAAGATATCAGGTATGAGTGACATTGTTGATCATTTTCAACAAATGACTTATTTTTCTCAGTTTGTTATGTAAGGATGATGTATATACATTGTTAATCATATATATATAATGAAAACTAGAGAACAATGATACTTTCGACCCAAAAAATGTCATTACCCTATATATAATTGAAAAAACACATACAAACATGATGAACGAATGACCATTGTCGCGCCCGGATTTTCGGTCACGCTACCTCTTGAGGAGTTGCCACCACGTCTTTGCGGTTAAAACGTGGAAAACTCGAATTATGCCCAAATTGGATAAAATTAGTCTTTATGTTAGAGTTATGAGTTCGGGAGTCGATTACGAATTGGGAAGATATTAGCACTCGTCGGCCCGTTATTAAACGGTACCCTAACTAATTGCATGCTTTTAATTTACCCTAACTAATTTACTCTGACAAAGTTTATCTTGTATCCATTGGTGCAATAGGGAAATCAAGACTACGTAGTTCTTTAAGAAAATCGTTTGTTGGTTTGATTAAAAATTGGTTTGATCAAAGAGTTACTAAAAATTAGTTTAAATTTAATCGAAATGGGATTAATAGACGACGAGTCAACATTGACTGCTTACAAGTGACCGCGACCGATTCTCAGCTCGAAGTGAGAAGAAAGATGCAAGTTATAAATCCCAAAAATATTTTTATTTTAAAATACCACACTAGTAATAAATTTACTATTAAAATACCACACTAGTGATAAATTTACTATTAAAATAAAAAAGGTACGATTTATTTGGGTATTCACTATTGAGTGAAAGAAGAGTTTTATTTATAAATGGATGAATACACTATTGTACATATATATATATATATATAGTAGTCCCCTTATTGGAACATAATTTTAAATAAGTAAATGCTGAAACTAATACAACAACAAGGCCCAAAGCCCATTCTACAAATCTGAAAAAGGGAGAAGGAGATTAGGTTTTAATTGGATTTAGGGGTTCTAAAGAAAGGGAGAAAATGAATGCCTTAGCTGCACCTCCTCCATGACCCGCTGTTGGGCTTGGAAACGACATTGTGAAGACGTCGGAGTCGCCGCATGAGCCTGCTCGTGACAGAACCCATTACGAAGATGAGCGGCGGCAGTACCCCTGAGTTCAAAACCCAGGGATGAATCTGCATGTTTAAAGGTCCTAACATGGTTCTTTATTCTGTTATTTGGCTTTGGAATTTTTATTGTTGATTTGATTTTTTAGTAAAGGTAATCCTAACTAAAGCCTTTGATGTCTTGCTTGTTACTTTAGATATTTTGTTGGCTGTGTTAATGTTTTTACTGGGACTTATGTAGAAAACGCAAGAACAAGAAAGAAAAGAAAAATGATACAATTTCAAAGTGGATGAGAATGAAGAATGTGGCAATCCTTCATGCATGGATGTTCATAACAAGAATCTTTGTGTGTTCAGAGTCCCCTCTATTTAATAAATGCAGCACTACCACTCTTCCTAGAAAATAGGCAACTTCCCTCATTATCTTCATCTGGTTAACAACCCAGATTCATCTCCACTATTCCCTCCTTTTTATTTGGAGTGGGGCATCACTCTAATTTTGATTGAATACCCATGCCAACCCACCTCCCTAAAAAGTAGGATTCACTTCCTAACACTGAATGTGAATCCGTTTTTTCAAAATTTGTTTTTCACTATTTTTGTTATTTTTATTATTTTTGAAATAAATAAAAGTATATATATTTTAGATACATTAAAATGGAAAATAAAAACTGGTTTGGACCCATTTTTATGGGTTGGTAAAAAATGGTATTCACGGTATTTATCTCTCCATTAATAGAGATGATCATTGTTCATAAAAGTGTACTACATTTAGTTTTAAATATCATTTATATAAAAACAAATAATTATAAAAATGTTCATCAAAGTATTATCTGTCTAAAAAGTCGAGAGTTGGCTAGATTTTCCTAAAGTCACCATGAAGAAGACAAAAGATTATAACTAAAACAGGAAAAGGATAATAGAACACATAAAGAGATTCTACAATTCTAATGTGGCAATTGCTCAATATTAAAGCAACGTTTAAGTACATTAAAGATCAACTAACAACCCTATAACTCTTATTGATGAATATTAGTGAAGTTAAGAAATATCTTTAAGGACTAGTTGATTATTAATGCAAATTCTGATGTAGTAAGTTGTCATTCCTCTTGATTTGTTTACTATCCTTTAGAATGAACCTCTTCATTTGAAGAAAAAACATGTGTTCTCCACTTATAGAAAAAACACTTTCTTTATGAGTTTCATTGTATATCCTTGACTATGTTGAAGTTGTTGATTAGGCATTCTTCCTTAGGCTTAATTGTAAATCACACTTTCTATAGCGTAAATGGATTAAATGTATTTGGTTGTAAACTTGTAATGTTACATCGTTTCTCGTACTAGTTTATGGGAATCATTTAGATGCTCAAACAAATAATACTCAAATATTGTTTTGAGAGGCTAATATAAAGAATAAGAAATAGTTTAGAGGGCCCAAGGCAACATGAAAAGTTATATATAGCTTAATCAAGAAGCTAGATGTTTACAAAATATAGAATACAACTTCTCTCCAGTTGTGGACTCTCCAATATTGTAATGTGTGGGGATTGACATTTTTCTAAATTATTTTATTTATTTAATTGGAAATTTTTTTGGACCTTTGAACTTTTTTGAATATCACATGTCAAGATTTAGGCTTATTACTGGTCTCTCCATTACTGGACCAAAATATATGTTAAGCTTGAAGCTAAACTTTATCCTGATATATCCTTAAAGTATCCTCCCCATTAAAAGGATTTAACAATAAACAAGGCTTGTAACAAAAAAAATCTGCAAGAAGGTAACAATTATCATAGGGTTTATGTTCTATATATTAAAATCATTAGAAATCCAATATATATTATATAGTGCACACACTTCATTAGAAACCGTATGAACCATAAGGCTAAGACTTTTACAAAGAGTGAAAGCCATCATCCTATCATCATACTTCAAAGATCACAATGTAATGATGATGAGGCTAATTTTGGCCAAACCAACACTTTCTAAAGTGAAAACAAGTTTTTTAACCTAATTTAAAATGCTAAATTAACTTGTTTGTTATGGTAAAAGAATAAGGCACAATTTGTTTAGCATAAGTTATTTGTGTCCATTGCTTTGGTTTTCATATTCTGCCACTTGAGGAAAATGACTTAGCAGCTTTTCAAAATTAATTGTAATTCTGGTCATTGAGTATAAGCTTTAATATGCAACGTTTATTTAGACACTTGGTTGTCTTTGCATACAAACAATTATTTTTGACAGACATATCAATCTGTCTTAGCTTTGATCAATTCTTGATTTATATGTAAAATTCAGACATGTCGTTGAAGTTGTTGAGATAGATTAAGGAGGTGGGTTGTATTCTCAAAAATTATGCATTTGAGCCATGTTAGAATCTTTAGTAGTAGAATTACCCCATTCTTTAATAACGCACCGGTCATCAAAGCAGTAGAGATACTTGTATAGTAGTATAGCGGTTCAACCAGTGATTCAATAATTAAACTGCATACCGGTTAAGTTAGATATACATATATAATATATTAACATTAATGTTGAAAAAGTAATAAAAAAAACAATAAAATAAATAAATTTAAATAAAAATGGACCGGTTTGACCAGTACAATTCAATTGAAAACTGTCCGGTATGACCGGTTTTGACCGGTATAATTGCATGACCAATATAATTGTTATACCGTACGGTATTGGGACCAGTTTACCGATTGAACTGACCGACACGAACCGGATTTTACAATTATGGATTCTCATATAATAAAATACAAATACATATTTGAATCTATGTTCTTGATCTTTTTTTATATTCTTATTCAACCAAATCTCGGACTTCCTCATGAGACCACATGTTTTCTTTCCGATGGGGAGAAAAGAAAATGTTTATTAATTTGTTGTATTCGGTATCATAAATGTTCGTGATGTATTGAACTATATAGTTCCAATTATCTCCTATGAGTTAACATGTTTATCTATTCATTTTCTAGAAATCATGTCGATTATAAGATTATATCACTATTTTTATAACCCTAAACAAATATTCAATATAATTATATAATTATATTAAGATATATGATCCCAAATATTAATTATTACTTATCATATGATATATTTGTTAGAATTCTCTTTATTAATTGGTGAAATACCAATCCTAAAATCTTGAATCTTATGATTCTCACACATTATGTAAAACAAGGATACAAAGTCATACCTGAATCCATGTTTTCAGATATGTTCCTTTACGTATGCCTTCGTAGAGAGGTTTTGATACGATGATCTTCCTCAACCAAATCTTTGATTCCTCTTGGGACCTTCGTTTTCTCTCTCATGGGGAGAGATGAAAACTGTGTTTGATTTGGTGTATTGGGGACCATAACCTTCTTGATGTGTTAACTTAATAGGGTTCCCATTATTTCCTATGAGTTAACTACTCTGGGTATCTACTCATGAAGCCCATATTCATTTTCAGTTTATTTTAGAAGTCACAAGGGTTGTCAGTAATAAGATAACTTATTTTATAACCCTGAAAATAAATAGCCGATATAATTGTATAAATATATGATGCCCACCTTAATTAGAAATTATGAATTTCTAACAATATTAGGATATGAAGTAGACTTTGAAAATGTATGGGGAAATGGTTAAGGTGTCGATATTAATTAGTTCATATATATGATTGGAAATGAGGAACAAGGGCTTTAAGCCTAAGGAGAGACATAATCATTGTTGCTTCATTGTTTTCCAAGGATCAGAATGTCAAGGCGATAGTGAAGGTCGAAAAAGACATTTGTGATGGTCAAGTCATTACAAAAATCACAACATTTTGTGGGGTTGTTTTTTCCTTTTCTAACTGTTATAAAATGTCACAATTGTTAATTTTGGTGGTTACAAAAAATGGTAGAACAACACTTATCACAATGAGAGAAATTGATGATATCATTTAGATCCTGAAAAACTGAATAACGAAATCTAATACAATCACCTTTCATCTTTATTTAAATTTCAAATTGTTTTAACTATTTGACTCCAACACCAAAACCATTTTCAAAAATCCCTTAACTCGGGAACATAATTTTTATTGAACGACTTAATTGTTTTTCAAGAATATTTATTAATATGATAATGTTTGCTTAACTCAATTCAATTTAATTGAGTGGTTTATTTGCTAGCACTTATGGTTATTTTAAAGCAAGGAAATCTAAGAATAAGAAGATTGATAGCACTTTTGATGATAGGCTAGTTTCATGCATTAGAAGTTTAAGGTGTTGACTTTGTGAACTTCATTCATAAAATATGAATTACATCCTATCTTCTCTTGACAACTTTTTTTATTTCAATCTTTCCACTCTTTCTTTGTGCAATATTTTACAATTATTTGTTAGGCCCAAACATGACACTATTAGGCCCAAGTGGATGAGAGACTATGTATTATTCGCAAGTCCAATCCTTTAATCATATAATGAACTTGTGTTTTTGAAGGCAAATATTATTTTCTTGTATCTTATTTTCAATTGTGTTTTTTGTTTGTTTGTCTTCTAACTGTTATTTATTTGTACCTAGTTCACGAGAAAAACAAAAAACCCGGATTGGAAGAGTGAATTAATGCTTAAGCATATATTTATCTTATTGCGGATTATTTTGCTCATTCACGCATGAGCTACCTTGCCCCTAAGTTTTGAAGAAGTTGTCGATTGTTTTCATTTTAATCAACATGGTAATTGTGTCGGGAATAGTTTAAATATATGTTGGTTATTCCTTTCGTTGCCAATTGATTTTGATATAGAATTTTAACATGGTATCAGAGTCTAACTTTTTTCCGGTTGTCATCGGCCAAATGATGCCTTTAGTTTTGAATCAAAGCTAACCTTTCACCTGTTCCGACAGACTTAGGTGGGGGCATGTTGGAAATTAAGTCCAACATCGCCTAGCTCATTGTATCAGAGCTAGAGTCCAACTTCTCACATCTTCTACCTTATTATCCCGTGAATGGTTTAAATAACTGTTGGTCAAACGTAACCTTTCGTCTGATCCGATAAGGTTGTGTGGAGTCGACTACATGGATCGAGCAATAGTGTTATTGGTCATTGATAGAACATTTTCTAATTTTGTTTCTTAATCGTTTCACATATGGTTTTTCTTGTCCTTCCACTTTTTTTAGGAATTGGATTAACATTCATTTGATCTATCCTCCTTAATGGACTTCTATGGGTCTCCTCCACAAATGTTGTTGAAACCACTTGAACACGATTCTACCATCTTTTCTACAATATGAGTTAATCTAACTTTCTCTTTTCTATATCTTGTCCATTCAACATTCTTATCTCCAACACTCCTTATTGGAAATTTCAACCAAACCCAATATCTTGGAAGTGCTTTTAATGCGAGTTATCAAAGCCAATGACCAAGGGAATATCTAGGAAACACAGTAATCAGTATGTGAAGTTAAACTTTGGCAATTGTCATCTACAATAATTTAGGTGAGATAATCATAGGTTATGTAAAAAAAGAATCCCATTTACTTTATATT